CAGTTCATTCTAGGTACATAGAGCACATATTTGATCATAACTTTCCCTCCATTACTCAATTGAAAAACTATGTTGCCAGTACCTTCTGCTTGCAACGAACTATTATCAGCAAGTTTTACCTTGCTCTTCTTCAACTCATCGAAATCTACCAAATATATCTTTTGACCATTCTGAATCGAGAAACCAGATCTTGGATTCAACATGGTTATTTGCAACTGCAATCATGACCATCATTCCTTCAGAATCATTTGAATCTTGGTGTGCAAGGTTCACTCCTTCGTCCTTGCATGTTGATCCCTTGTCTTTTCTGTACCAATAATTCTTGGCGAAGAGCCCCCACTTTTCACAATTGTAGCACTGCACACATTTTTTTATCTTCTTTGTCCTTTTGATAGTTTCCTCCTATTTTGAGGGTTCAAAAGCCCTATCATCGACCTTATTCTTGTAGGGATTCGGTCAAGACTTCTTGCCCCGAGTCTTGTCGAACTTGCCTTTGAATTTGTTGGAACCACCATTCTTTTTCCATGACTGAGCCTGCAAAGCTTGTATCGAGTCTTTAACTCCTTTCCTTTCAACAATCCTAATCTCACACGCTTCCAACAAACCAACCAAATCTTCCAGCTTTAAGGTTTCAAGTTGATTGGATTCTTGAATAACTATGATAACATGATCAAAGTGAGAGGTCAACATACGCATTACCTTCTCAACTATCATCTTATCAGTTAGGGTTTCACCATAACCCTTCATGAGATGGACTAGTTTCTGAACCTTTTAAACATACTTTGCAATCTTTTCGTCTTCTCCCATCGATAATAATTCATATTAATGCAAGGTCTACAACTTGACAACCTTAACTCTCTCACCTCCTTCATGGTACTTGACAAGAATATCTCATGCCTCCTTCGCCGATTCAGCATGAGATATTTTGTCAAAGTTCGCCTCATTGACCGCCATTTGAATTCAATATGTAGCCTTGCAATCCTTCTTCATGGCTTCGTGGTGGGCTGTTTTCTGTGTGTCGGTTGCATTTGCAACCAACACAAAAACACAGTTGGTAACCACTTATAGGGTTTCATGAAAGCCAAATAGAGATTGCATCTGTTTTCTCTATCGAATCCAATTCTTGCCATAAAGAGTCGGAAGAGAATTCAGAATGCTATTGTCACCATTCATATTTGCAGTTATTTCTAGTGAATAACCCGCAATCTCGAAAATACGATCTCTCAGGTATGATTCTTGAAAACACGATCAAGAATCTAACAGGGGCTCTAGATACTAATTTGTTAGTGAGTGAGGCACTTTTAGTGATGGGAGAATGAGAGAATAAAGGAAATAAAGATTGTATTATTGACTTGAATTGTCACAAACTAATTTACAATATGTCTATTTATATACAACTAGGTATTTGAATCATGGAAGCTCCTTACAGTGAATGGTATGTTCTTCAAAAGTATCCAATCATGGCTTGCAGAAAAAAGGCAAACCTCATCAATAGGAAATAAGGGGATCATAAGGAAGTATTTAAGGATGGTACGATACTCTACCAGAGACATATGTTGGCCTATACCATCAATAGGGATTGCAAGGAGAAAATCTGAGCATGTGCAGCTCGCAAACAACCAAAAACTATTTTTTGTCTTGTGCTCATTTCAAATTTTACATTCATTTTTTGAACACTCTTACTAAAAAGGGAACTCACTAAAATATGTTGAGCTTTAGGAGGGACGTTTTCCATTCTAATAAAACCACTAAGGTCAAAATCTAGAATCATATCACTAAGATCATCCAAAGCTCTATCGAAATCAAGATCCATGCCACATATCCCACCGTCTCTCAAAATATGTTCCTATAACACCCATGATTGGGCCTTAGAAGCCATAAAATAGTATGAGGTAGCCTCTGCTTCTGAGTACAAACCCAGTCTCCCAAATTTATTAGGTAAAGAAACCAACCTCCATTGAAGGTCCCCAGAGAAATGACCTCTTCCAACCACGATGTCTTTAACCACCATTCATAGCTCTTTATCAAACCAAATTATTTCTTTCTCCATATGATTAGGTTCACACATTATAAGACCAAAAAAGAGTTTGGTGATAGCCATGCTAGAACAAAGTAAAATAAGCTCACTTTGAGGATACATTAGTTGTGCCAAAATATGAATTAACTCAATAACACTGACCGCTCGCTTCATAGACAACCCCTCGATAAAGCCTTCATCTTAATTAACATTCTCTCCAAGCAACTTTATCCCCGACATCGACATTCCAATATCTGAAGGAAACAACTCCTCGTGAAGTTTACTACCATCACACAGACAAAAAATCTCATTTTCAAGTATATTCAATTCGAGACCTAATCTAGGACCAGACTCTCGAATAATGTCAATGGCTTTAGCCACCTCCTCTGAATCCATTATGATGGTTCAATCATAATGATACCATGCATGATGAAGAAGCTCACAATTGTTACTAATCTAATGAATAAGCGGGTGTGACACAAGAGCAAAAAGGAGCAACCTTGTTGCCTGACCATAGAGAAACTCAATCCACAGGGAAATAGGTGGGAATCTCACCCTCATCTCTCGTAGTATGTCTGAACGACTTACCAAGTTAAAAGCATTCGTGAAATCTACCATGAGCATAATCAAAGAGCCATCTTCATGTCGCTTGCTCAACACACAATCGACACTGTGCAAAATGGCCTCAGCACATCCCAATACCCAGAGACAAACTAGAATTCATTAAGATATTGTGCCCCATCCTTACTGACCACTTTTATTCCAACCTTGGATACGAACGGTTTCCAAATAAAACCCACAACAATTGGTCGTATCCCACCATCAGACTTCAATAGCAACGTCAATGATGCAGAGTTAACAAACTCTTCCAAACTCATCAGGCATCTCCCTCCCAGCCATAGGTTAATAACTAGAGTGATTGCATATAAGACATATTTAGGCATAATAAAAACTTCTCCATACAATGTGTCCAATAAATATTGTGGTCATAAACCATCTCTACCACATGAAGTCCCTTTAGGAAATGACTTAATGCACCTAAAGATATTATCAACTTCATCCACTAGAGAAGATTTAGAGAATAAGATGGTTAACATGGTAGGAAGTAGTTTATACAGGTGTTTAGCCTTCAAAGCCTTCATAACATGCACATTGTAGGGGACTACACCAGATGACCACAACACTTTCATAGCTGATGTGAAGTGACCATTTTGCAAACTTATTCAGGCATTGCTTGACATTAGAGCTCACTTGTGCATCTTTCTCCTCAACAAGTACTCCCTCATAGCCCGACTTATATTGTTCAGAGTTGTCCAACACACTATCAACTAACTTGTATCATTCACCATGATTATGAATAAACAAGTACATATGGCCCAATTTAATATAATCACGTATCGTTCACCGTGATTATGAATAAACAATGAAAGTACATATGTTCATTTCTCCATCAAATTTAAAACACAATAATCACAAAAAATCATAAATCAAAATCCCATAAATTCTAAAAAACTATATGAATTAGTTGTGTACATTTCACCATCATAAAGAGTTGTTATCATCTCCTTTAAAATTATGGCATTTAATATTAATCACAAATAAAGTATAAATTAAAGTGAACTTAAATATTGTTTTATCTTGTATTAGAAGTCTGTTGCAAAATATAACAAGAAGAAGATGAAAACGACATGATGAAAATTTCACAAAACAAATTTCAAAGTGTACATTTACACAAAGCTTTAGGTTCGATTCACCCCACCAATTTAGAAATTTTTTGATGCAAAATGACTAATTTGACGAATCCATAACATGATACTCTAGAAACCTTAATATGAATTGCACATTAATATTGAACATATCAATTAATGATATCTTACACAATAAAGTTTTCTAATTTACTCCCGTGCACTAGAAAAATAAATAAATGACTTAGATATTATTTTTGAATAATGAAACATGTGAATTTTTTTTGTTTCTTTATGCCTAGAAAATATCTCTATTTATATATAAACTTATAAGAATTGGTGAAGAGGTGAAACTTTTTAAAATAGTGATTATATGAAACAATATGTATTTTCACCATCCAAGATGTATAACATAGGTTGCAATTGGTTAAAGTTTACCACATGTGATTAGTTGCTCTTTTTGCTTAAACTTTGCGAATTGAAATCCCTTAAATGTACCTTTTCATTCTTTAGTCAATTTTAATCAATATCTAATTAAAACAATCAAGCTATATTCAACCATTAGTCTACTTACTTCTTCAATATCAAATATGTATATTGACTACATTTTAATTATTATAAAATATAATTTTCCAAACCTATATTTTGGAAATTCTCCAATATATTATACACTAGGTAAATGTTCATGATACTACTACATGTGGATCCAAAATAATTTACTATATAAATATCTTTTACTTACGTGTAAATTTATTGGATCAAGATAAAAAAAGTAAGGAATGAACTAAGAAAATTAAACAAAGAAAACTTACCAAGACGAGAAGTGAGAAGAACGATTATCACACTCATAAGGAATGAAAAAAAAATATTGAATCACATATGTACCACGAGAATAAGGATGTTTTTTATTAGTGTTTAGAGATGGTTGATTCAATAACTTATAGGAATTAAACTAACTTCCAATTCAATTTATGACTAAACATTCAAACTCATGCATGAACTAAAATGAACAAAAAAACATAAACATTTGTTATAAATACCTACACTTTTTAAGAACATGACACATCACCATATTAATTATAGTAAAAAAGTATTAAAAAAACCACAATCACACACTATAAAATAAAGAACATTATACAACTTTAATATAAAACAATATAAACCAAAGGAAAAATATTAAAAGAATTTTCTTTTTATATCAAATTTTGTGAAGAGTCTAGTTGTTTATCCTCATTATTTTTTGTCTATGCTATATTGTCTTTCTTTTCATTTTCTTTTCATTTTTCAAAAATAGATCCATGAGAAACAGCAAATTCATTTCATACATTCCATCTACTAGCAAACACTTCTTGAAGAAAAATATTTGTGAGATCATTGAGGGAATTTCATCCTCTACAATAGATGAAGACAAGTTTTATGATGCTGAAGAAAATTTTCCAATATATGATGACAAGTATGTCGTAGAAATTCAAGTAGTGGATAGTGAGGATAGCACACCATTGACAAACCATAAACACAAACAAAAGGAGACTATTGAAGATAAATATTCTACTCAATTGAAACAATCCTACTGTTCTATTTGTATGGAAGCTAAACCAATTAAAGAAATTTTCAAAAATCCAAATTGTCTACACTCTTTCTGTAAGGATTGTATTGGAAGATATCTAGCTGCAAAAGTTCAAGAGAATATATCAAAGGTAAGTTGTCCTGAACCAAACTGCAAAGGAACTTTAGAGGCTTGTCACTGTAGTTCAATTATACCAAAGGATCTATTCGATAGATGGGAAAATGCACTTTGTGAGAATTCGGTATTAGAATCACAAAAATTTTATTGTCCTTTTAAGGATTGTTCAGTTATGTTGGTGAATGATGCAAAGGAAGTTGTGACGGCTTCAGAATGTCCACATTGTCATCGATTGTTCTGTGCACAATGTAGGGTTTCGTGGCATGCAGGAGTTGATTGTAGAAAGTTTAAAAGTTTGAAAAACAATGAGCGAGGGAAGGAAGATTTATTGGCGATGAATCTTGCAAAGAAAAAGAATTGGAAAAGATGTCCAAAATGTAACTACTATGTAGAAAAAGTTCATGGATGTACTCATATTACATGCAGGTATAAACACTTCTCTTTTGTTGACAACTCTTTTTTTTGTTTAATTGCTTCTAAAATATTTTTATTGTTTGAAATGATTATTATCAAAACTACTCCTAGGTGTGGTCATCAATTTTGCTATGGATGTGGATGCACTTGGACGGGAGGATCCCATTATAAATGTAAAGTTCGATAAAAAAAATTGCACGACGAGTGAAAATGACGTATATGGCCTTTTTGTTTTGATTCCCTTTTAAAATTTGTTTTGGTGAGTTAGTTGTATATTTTAGTTTTGGGAACTGAAGCAAAACAATTCTATGTAGTTTTTAGTCTATGACAAGGTCCAAACCATATAGAATTGTGCTAAGTTGATGTATCATTTATCGCAATCATAACCTGACATAAGTTAAATTAAAAATATAGTAACAAACGGTTAACCTAGATCATCTATTATCTTTTAATATTAAAAACCAATATTAAGATCAATAATAAAATTAATATGGCGATTTTAATACAAAACAATTTGTAATTAAGTGAGAATTACAATTGATTTAAGACAACCAACTCACTAATTATGAAGATTATCGTGAATATAACACATGTTTCAAAAGATATTCAATTTGATTTAAGAACAAACAAGAAATTTAATACTAACGTAAACATAAAATCGCGTTTGAAAGAAAATGGGTTTGGAAGAAAAGAAATAGATTTATAAAATTAAATTAACATATAGAAATTGAACTTAAGTGTCCTAACTATCAATTTAATCAGCAAATTGAGGTAGAGCGTTTAGCCTTGCACATAAATTTTGCTACAATGAAAAAAGTAAAATAATTAGGATAAATTTTTAGTTGCTTCATCATCTCTATTTATAAGCCTAACTTATTATAAATTTAGGATTTTGAATTTTCTTCCATTACAAATAAGTGGCCTAAACCTGCATTCAAGTACTTTCTTCGTTTTAAAATGATTGGTGTTTAAAGTTTTTGTACACAAATTAAAAAATGTAATGATGTTGTCATAAAACATTACTCTTATACAAAATTAACACTATTAATGTATTGGAAGTAGTGCAGAAAGAAAAAAAGTAAAATGGTACAATTGAAAAATAGTAATCATTACTACATTGAAAATAGAAAATGACAGTCATTTTGTAATAAAATTTATTTGTTAAAATGACAATCATTTTAAAACGGGGGGAGTATAATACATCAGAGATTGACATATTTTACTATTATTATGTTTGGACTGGGATCAACGTCCAATATAAAAGTTGTAGATCTACTTCTTAGCTTTTCTAGGGATGGTTTACTCCAATAAGATAAATACAACACAAAATATTGCATGTAGTGTTAAACAGGGTAAAGATGAGGTTAAATCCAAAAGTTACCTACTAAACTCACTAAATCTCAATTAAGATCCCAAGTTTATAAACAATCTAAGATACAAGTATTATGCATGGCAAGTGATAAAAATATCTAGTAAAATGCTTTAAAAGTGCATAAGCATGCAATGATCAACCATGGATCCTCGATCAAGGGAGCAGAAGGAAGAAGGGTGTATGAAAGAGCTAGACTTCCTTAAGGAGTGACATGATTGGGTCATAAAGAGTGATGCAATAATAAATCAAAGAACGTATTCAAAGTACAACAAAAAGGTAATTCTAGTAGATTTAAGCCTTAATGACGCAATCTTATGTAGGGAAGTTGTAGGAAGGAAGAATGCAACAGATGAAAAGGATGTCACATAAGTGAGAGGGACTATATCGAGTCGTGAATAGCACATGGAAATGGGTATACACGTAAGAAATGTTAATCAGAAAAGATTTACCATGGACTTGGAAAACACATCTAGGCTGAAAAAGTTGCATACTTAAATCTAATAGTTAGGAGCCTGCAAACGACTAGGTTGTTTAACAATAATGCACTAAAATATAATTTTTATCCTAATTTTATTTTTTAGAGCACATGACGCAAAACAAAGGAGCCCACCAGGTAGTGCAGCTAGAAAAAGGAAATTGGGATTATTATGAGATAGTTGCTGACATCTGTGGAGCAGAAAAGACATATCAGTTGGGATGAGATAAACTTCTTATCCGTTTCAAGAGATCTTACCAGACCATCCAAGCTAAAATATGGATGAACTTTCTTCTTCTTTATTTTAATTGTGTTAGCAACACCTCCTTTAGAAACTTTAAGAATGCACATTTAATGTGGTATATCGTAAAAGGCAAGCAAGTGGACATAACAAGGGTAATCTCCAAAAAAATGGGAGATTGTAGATTGATCGAAAAGACATGTCATTGGCTTTCTTGGATTGATCATGGGATTGTGTAGACACTTTGATGTAGACATCACTGATATCCATCATGTCTGGTAAATGTCAAATCTTGATAGTACCATCATTTCCCAATATTGTACAGGTCTTAGAGAGAGGATGCATTTGCAACCACTAGATCTCCCCGTTGCACCTACTAAGCACTAACATGGAGCAACAAACTTTGATAGCATGGATCCTTCTATGAGAATCTATTTTTCATATGGTTCAAATGTTAGTGAAGCATAACACAAAGGTATGTTATTTATTAATTATTCATTGAATAGGTTGCAATTAAGGATATAAGAACCACAAGCTTCATTTGAGCCAATACCTACTCAAGACGAATTTATTAGCTACATGCAATGGCCTACTAATAGTGAATTTTATTATGAGCAGAGAAGTGGTAATGCAAGTGGCAATGGAAAAGCAAGTCAGTAGACATAGGTTGATGACGAGGAAGAAGAAGAGGAAGATGGTGTGAAAGAGACGATGAAGAGACAACTAATCGGAGTTACGATTAGACTGATATTGCATCTTATACATCATTGTGAAGTTTTTACCGTTTTTTCATTTCAATTTTGTTACTTGATGAACAATTATGTTAGTTTGTGTTGTTATTTATGTAGTATATTTACTAACAATGTCCATGCACAATGGACATGGGTGTGTTGCTCATCTTTTACTAAGCACATAAGTAAGACGAAGCTTCCAACACATTCTAAATATTATGATTATTCGTCTACCTTGAATTTTGATGTACACATGAAAGGAAAATTGAACAAGAAAAAACAAGTACAAGTGTTGTAATAGAGGGCTCGCTAGGCGAGCCACATTGTGTGCCTAGCGCACTTTGGTGCAAAACGAGGGCCAAGCAAGAATTCTCTGAGGACTTTGAGCTAAGAAAAAAATCCCTACAAGATCACTCTTTGTCTATTTCTTGTGGACAATCAAATCTTTTTTACATGGTTGGAAAGCAACGAATAATTTTAAGCATATACTTGTGAATTTTTGTGATTTATACCTTGTTAAACAAAATTGAAATTTTTTGAAAAAAAAGCTGCTTTTTAATAAAGTTTGCCTGTAGATGGGTCAAATGATGATCTAAACAGCCAAAATGCATGGAACTACATAAAGGTTGATAACAAAAGATCAAATAAAAAATGACATGAAAATTTATTATTCTCTTTAAATGCTTCATGCATGATTAATGTTATGAATATATGTGAAATAAAACATGATTATGAATTATTTTCTTTATCCAAAGTTTAATTTTTCTACTATCTAGTGGAAACAAGTTGGTAAAAGTCAAGAACCATAAGCCTACCCAAGTAATATATGTGCAATCTCATGTTTTACATAAATAATGAGAGTAGATATGCATGCTAATTATGTAGACTTTACATCAGTCTTACTATTACTTTATAAGTTTGAGAGTCATGAATATGATCAAGACATTGTTTGTTATTGACTAAAAAACTATTTGAACTAAAAATCCTACCTTGTGATGGTGGGAATTCTTTTACACAAACCCCTTTGAGCCTTAAAATTAAAAAAAAAATCAAATGTTTCAACCATTAGCCAATTTAAAAAGAAAAGCATTGTTCACCACATTATCTTAAAGATACGATAGCATGTAAAAGCAAGGGCATTTCAAAATCAAAAGTTGGGGAGAACAAGAAAAAATGATGTGTTTTGAAAAAGAAAATTCAAGTAATATTGGTGAAATGAAAGAAAAATAAAATTAACATAAACCAATCAAAAGTAAAGCATACAAAAGAAAAAGCACCACAAGAAAATGATTGTAAGAAAATGGACAAAAAAATGATACTTTTTGAAAGAAATAATTTATGCTCTCTTATCTTTAGGCTTTTCAATCCAAATAAAAATGAATATTATTTGTAAGTCCACCCACATTAGAACCAAACTAAAGAGCTTAGTGATCCATGACTGATGATATATTTGGTGATACAATTTATTTGAAATTTAAAGTGTTTTATAGTTCATGCATTCTCTATGTATAAGGGAAACACTAACTATTGAGAGATACTCTGAGACCATGACTCTAATGAATGATTAACTATTGATCTACACATGTTTTAAAATCTTACTTTGGTCAGAGAAATGATTTATATTTGTGCTATGGGTTATGGATAGTCTTGACATTGATAATGAACTTGCATTTGAAAGAATTCCATGCCATAAAAACATTTTCAAAAATTCTTGACCTGAGTCAGTTAACCTTTTAGTAAAACAAGTATTCAAAAGATTTATGAATCATTTCAAATTATTTTATTTGAGGACAAACAAAAATATAAGTTAGAGTGAGTTGATAAGTGCCAAATTTATGCAAAATACATAGACACTTATTAACTTATTTTACAAGCAATCAATATAAATAAAACCCTCAATTTGTCTATGAAAAGCAATAAAACACCTATTTGGACTTTCCTAGCATGTATTAATTGATAATAGGTGAAAAGAATTAGAAAACCACCATTCAACACATAAAGACAAAGCCAAAGAATATCCCTATAAATCAAGGATATCTAGGCCATGATCATAGGGGCACCTGGCAAGCCCGAAAGGAAAGATATCACATAAAGGCTAAAGTATTATATGGTGAAGCAAAGGTTTATGCACTAAGCATGGGAGCAGTGCACCGAGCGAAGCAAGGTAGCTAGGGATACCAGTCATACAACTAGAATTTCTTAATCTAGAATAAAGAAGGCTCAATAAGTGCAACTGAAACCCTGTTGGAAAAATTTTGGTTTGTACCATATCCCTAAGGTTTTGATGATAAAAAAATATTTAAAGAACAATTAGGTATTACTAATATTTGTTCAAGTGTGCAGGATCGTAGATTAAAATTGGAGATAC